CACCTAACCATATGACGCCAATATAACGTTGGCCGTTTTTAGAATTATTCGGGCCATCCACCCATTTGTCTTCTAATTGATCGTTCAACTGAAGACCATTACATGTTGATAGAGTACTCAATGAAAAAAGACCTGGATCAAAATGTGGAACACAATTGACTTCATCTGTATTTAAACCGATTTTAGGCTGATTTACAGGGCCTGTTCTTTCATTGAAATAATGCACTATATCGAGCATGCCCAACGGAGACAATCGCACCATTTCTTTAGTTGAACTTTGTACAAATATGGGCATTTTGAAGATGACAGATTTTATAATATTTGTAAAGTTATTAAGTAGTATTGCAAGATATTGTAACGTGTGTTCTACATCATTTGTCAAAGGGCGATGGTAGTTTCCAAGGCCTTGTTGATCAATTAATACTTTAATATCTTCTTTATGACCGACTCGTGAATAACCAAAGGCATTCGATGATTCATACTGCGATTTTTCCATTTGATGTTGAGCAAAAAAGGCTGAGAGAGTTGTCTGAACTTCATTGAGTTTATCGGCTAGCTGACCCTTTTGATCGAGTAACAGAATAAAACACCAACCGTTTGATTCAAATTCATCTTGTAAACGGTTAATTTCGCTTGAATCTCCAATCAAGAGTCTATCGAAATCGACAAGTGTATGATTGTTGAAACTCTGCTCGGTCGTCATAAAAGCGATGAAGGAAGAAAAATGGTGATGTGGCATGTGTATCAAAAATGCGTCGCTCCTTATAAAGTGATCGAGTTATGAGTCTATAATGGGTCACTGCTCAATCAACAGAAATGATGAATCATACACATAAATTCACTACTACACTGTAAAAGATAATGTGCCCTTTGACGATACATTTTGTTCTATGTTGGAATATGTCCATGCGTCGCTGTTTGCGACACAAAATGTGTCCTTAGTAATGATGTGTAAAATGTGTCGGTATTTAGGATACATTTTGCATCGCAAATAACGATGCATGGATACATTATCTATACAACAAAATGTGTCCATTCTATGTACTTTTTGAGGGCACATTTTAGGACATATTGTTGTTTATAGTGTAGCAAATTTCCTTTGGTGATGTCCCAATTATCGCTAAATCGTCAATAATTGCTTGACCAAGTCATAAGTAACTTGATTCAGATGCTAAAGGTTCTCAGTACACTTGAAATTCGAAAGGATGAAGCGAAAAAGAAGTGCGAACCGAGAGCAGAAGATTTTCAGCTAGGCACATACTTCAAAAATCCTAATGAAAATATTCATTTCAATTTATTGAATGAATGATACGAACACGTGAAACAATTCACAAATTCTGCTCCAGACTAACATTAAAAAATTAAAATAAATATATTCTCAAGATAGAACCATGTTGCTAAATTGAAAATGGGAAAAACTTTGAAGAAATGATCGACAAGATTGAAAATATGTGGACAGTAGTGAATTGAATGCATGCCGTTTGGACGAGTTGGAAGGAAGTATAATTTCAAACAAGAATATTGTAATGTGGACATCGAATAATGAACTGTAGATTGTGAATGGAATGATTGAACCCGACACTCTCACGCTTAATAAACGGACTGTGGGTTTGATAAGGTGCCGGAAATTCAAAAGATAAGCAAAATTTATGTTTTTTTAATCGTTAGATCAAGCTCATCGAGTTACCTAGAAAAAACTGAAATGTGGATTTTTGAAAGTATTTTTTTATTTAAAAAGTTTTAAAATATTGATTTTTTAAGAATGGGTAAAATTCAGCAAAATTTTGAAAAAGAAGCAAAATTTCAGGTTTTATTGTCTTTTTAAAATTTTGGTACTATTTTTTTCTGATCTTACATACAAAATTGAATATAAAAAGTAATTCAGATACTTTTAGAACCTGATTGGCCGACTGAAATCGCTGAAGACCGCGCAGAACGGCTGGAATTCCACCCGAACTTCTTGTAACCCTTTCCTCATATCCATCTCATCCATACACACACATCTTACTGTTTTATACTTATGTTTATTGCAATTATTGAAACTACTAATTCGATCGAGATTTTAGACGAAGAAGAGAAATTATTATTAATTAGTTAGAGAAATTATTTCGCGGTAGCCATCGGAAAGAGCATCTCAAAATCCTTAAGTGCTGAGATTTATCAACATTCGTTCGGCGGATCTTGAGATAGCATTTTCATGTTACACGCCTATTGACAAAAATAGATTTTGTATTTTTCATTTGGCTAGGCAGAGGAGAACGTGCGCTACAAAATGGCATGAAAATTTCGTTTCTGAACATGTATAGACCGACCAAAACATGATTTCCTAGAGAAAGGGATTCTCGACAAAACCTGTTTCTTCTCTTTCACTGTTATCGAAAAAACCCCCGTGCGCTCGATTATTTTTGAATAAGTCGAGAACAAAACGAGTTAGAGAGTTCGAGTCCTCACCATTGGAAAGAGAAGTCCTGCGTGCCTCTTTTCTTAACAGAAAGAATTTCAAAAATCTTTTTCGAAAATAGCCTTTTAAGAGATCCTTGGAAAATCCGGTCATAGCTCAAGAACGTCAAGTACTTTCAGAAAATTCTTCTGAAAACTATTTCGGTTATGGGAATATGCCTCCAAGTCTCCTCTTTCGAATGGCGAAAACTGAAGCTCTCTAGCTCCTTTCTATCAAAAGGTATTCAAAAAGCAACCAAGTGCGCAGTGTTTTAGTGCCCATAATAGAAAAAATTTTTCCAAATCTGGAAGAAAAAGTAGTGGTAGTTTGCTAAACCGTGCTTTGTGATACTCCTGGGTACACACTATCGATGTATGATTAGAAAAAACCTAGATCTTTGTCTTTTGTTTGGGTCAAATTTTTTCATAAAAAGGGTATTTTTTTTTATCAGAATCATACATTTATTCCTATGTTTTCAATTTTTATTTTACCTGACGGCGATCTGTGTTTTTACTTCTTGCTGTCAAGGAACGCAGCATTATAATGGCTTTGTCTGTTTGCCTATCTGTAAACAAAAAAGCAGCCGATCCATTTGATGGATCTTTTTCGAATTTACCACAAAGATCAGGAATGGTCTTATACAGAACCTTACTGGAAACGAACATTGTAGGTCAAGAGATATACGCAAGAAACTGCTTCTACACCCTAAAGAAACTTGCTATATAGACGATTTTGTCTGTATTTATTATTCGTATACGTGACCAGCAGGAAAAAATCACATAATTGCACAACAAAATTGAGTCATCATTCTTTTACTTACACAAGTACTCAAAAGTGTTTTATACGTCAGTCGGCATTCAACCTTTAATTTTAAGATTTTGATTATATTTTCTTGTTTGAACATGCACTTTGCCTGTCAAGGTACTTATGCATATGGAGTTGGATAATGAGAGTGAATGAAAAAACAATATCCTTTGCAATCGTAAAAGCTGAAAATCTAATAGACGAAAACTGGTGTAACAAAGACTTTTAATTATAGGAAATACATAATGTATACTGTCATTCTGAAGACTCATTCCGACTATAATCGACCCAAAATCCCTTTATTCTCCCTTGACTAAAGTATAGACGGATGATACGATTATCTTTGATTCTGACGCGTCTTACACTGTTTCTACTAATAAATTAGAAAAATATTTACTCTACCAAACTGATGTGCAAAAAAAAGATTTTAATGTTATCTGTGACAGAAACATAAACATCCAAAAACCGAGCAAAATTGCGAAAATATTATAATATATATTATAATATTATTATTCAATATTATTGCGACCCAATATATTTTATTGGTGTATGTCTAACTAAGCCAAGGTAAAATATCATCTTCTTTTGGAATTTTTTAAATGATTTTGATTTCAGCTTACTGGTAATATACGCCACGACTTAATTCCACGATGAAAGTAGATATTAAGCATATGAAAATGGATTTAGCTTTTCAGAACGATGGGAATTTTTTAAAGTTACGATTTTTGTCTAATGATTGGAAGTCTTAATAGGAATGAATCGGACTGTACTTGAACCAGGAACTTCGATTCGGAGCACCCAAACTGAAATTATATGATTTCACCATCGTGTGTGCTGCATTTTTAGAAGAACTTTGCTATGCATTTCCTATAGAAAATGTTTGATGCGTTGTGCTGGAAGAGAAAGAAGTATATATCGATGCGAAAAGGCTGATTCTAAAGTACTACAATGCACCAAACATCAAACATTGCTATACGTACTAGATATTATTGGACGGATGATGTCACTAAATTACAATACCGATAATTTTGTATTTCATATAAAAATTTCGTTCTTTTCTTCGTTGAAGGCACATTATCGTATCTTAGCAGGTTGATTGGAATCTAATATCAATTTTCGAATGTATGAGTCAAGTTCGGGAAAAACGCTGGTGCTCTGCACTATGATGATAGCAGAATGGGATGAAATCGCGAGTGTCAATTGATTCCAAAACGAAAATCGGAGGATTGAAAACATTGTACCTAAGAAAAGAGATAATGCAGTAAATAGAGCCATCTTTCTATCATTTGGCAAATTCTTCTCATACGTGATGTATACTGAACTGTCGAGGACAAAAAGTATTGATTTAATTTATCACCTGCATCATCACGAGGATGCCCTTTATTATTCGTTTATGTCGACACGTACTCCAAATTCTATTTTATTATCCATTATACTGAGATCCATTTTATTATTAACTGAAGGTTAAAAGAACGACATTTCTTCATTTAAGTTGTATTTCCATCATCTAACTTGTTGTTGTTGATATAAGTTTCCAAACCGATTTAATAAAAATTCCAAAATGAATATTGATGGTGGTAATAATGGTATACATAACAAAATAACACACCAATTGTAGTAAGTAGAAAGAGAGCACGTGCGAGGTTCATATTTTATGAATATTCAACTAATTTTTCTATTATGTTTTTACCTTTAAGTAGACAGTAAGGATGTCGCTTTTTTTCGTTTAAGTTGCGTAACAAAGTTGTCTGTTGTGTTTCGACGAAATATCAAGAGAAGGTTGGCAATTTAATGCAATTATACTTAGTAATCTTGCGCGCACGCGAAAGAGAGAGACAAAAACGTCACGGTAGCTTAAACTATCTACTACTGGTAAATATTCGTTCATTACCATCTCTTTGTTCCACCTTGGCATTGTTTTTCAAAATGTTTCAATTTCAAAAGACATTAAAAACAATTTTTTTCTCACAGAGAGAGGGAGAGAGAGAGAAAGAGAAAGAGACAACTTAGATTAGATATTTCAATGAGGAATAAAAAGAAACGCCCGAACGGGGGCTCGAACCCCGGGCCTTGTGGTTAAAAGCCACACGCTCTACCGACTGAGCTATCCGGGCACGTTGCTTTACATGAGTAATGAAATTTATAAACAAAATAGTGTAGAAAATATTAACTTTGATTTTCTATTAAAATAATCATTAGATTTTAGAAGAAAGTCATAAGTAGTCTAATGTACGACTCCTCTCATTTCATAGAACTTCATTCACACATTTATATTTGTAGTATCCAACACCAATAAGACGATTATGTTGGATTTTCAAAACTTCATCCAAGCTTCATAAATGATAAATTCTAATTAAATAGCGTCGCGTATTTCCATGTCTTTAAAAGTATAATATAGAAAAAAACGACGAAATATACAGAATGTTGACATGAACAGCATACAAAAAACGACGCTAAACGACGATAAATACATTTAGATCAGGTTGGTCTTGTTTTGCAGTAAACATCTATGCACAGTGGGCATTTTCCCATACAGCAGGTGGACATCTGATTTTTTGAGTAAGAAAATGATTATTTTAGCGTAATATGATCTTACTATGTGTCAGATATTAGTAGAAGTAAAAAAGGTCGAGTTCGAAAAAAAATTTTTTTCGACAAAAAGTTACCTAGGGGGACCCGTACCCTGAATTTTTGTCAAAAAATGTTTTATTTGTAAACCTAACAAATTATACATCATTCGATGCCTGCACTGCATTAGTGCGGCTCAGTTTTGACGAGAAAATGTCGGGATATCAAAAAAGAAGCAGCCGCAACTGGTCTTCTTGATCCGAGGAAAGTCCAGAAGAAGCTAAATCAAGTTTAGTTAGCCAATCACCAGCTATATCCGTAGAATCACTGAACGACTTCAATTGCTTCTCACATCGTTTGTGAATAAAATTGAGGACTAACTGGTGGAATACGCGCAAGATCGGTTTTCTCAGCTAAAGAACGAACTATGATGGCAGTCAACAGGTCTGGCCTCCCAACTGTACTGTAATTATTAGCAAAAAGCGATAAAGACGAACCGAAATCTCCTTCGCCAACATCAGCATCTTTTCGAATTTTGATTTTCTTATCTTCAATCCGACGTGTAATTGGATCTTGACTTAGCAATCGTCGTCTAATCTTTTCAATGTAATGGTCGAATTTTCTCTCTGCTATAAATAATGATGTTGCTAATTCTGGACTGTTAACCATGGGCCAGTTCTGTGACCTTAGTCCCAAAAAAGTATGATACACTTCGTTTCTGCATCGATTTTCGAAAACTGAACGAGGTTACCATCAAAGATACTTATCCGATTCTCAGAATAGATGATATAGTAACTTTTTCTTTTTAAATAAAACCAAAAGTAAAAGAAGAGTAGAATTATCTATCACTTTTCGACCCATTAATGACGCGCCCCCCCGCGGGGGGGGGGGGGGGGGGGGGGGGGGGGGGGGGGGGGGGGGGGGGGNAACCAAAATTAAAAGAACAGTATAATTATTAATCACTTTTCGCCCCATTAAAGACCCCCCCCCCCCCTCCTTCGATTTCTTGAGAGTAGAGGGGCTCATGAAGTAGAAATCACTGAACCCTAAGGTCATAAGTAAGATCCATTACTGTTTCAAATGTTGACATAATAAAAAAAAACAAGAATTCAATTACGTGTTCTCAGTTATGTAAGTAGTAAATAATGAAGAGAGAAAATAATGAGCTATTTAGAAGTATAGTTTCGGTTGTTGTTGGTGGTGTTAAGTGTTCGTTGTTTTCTCAAACAAAAAATAAATTGACTACTCTAATCTGTTGTTGTTGATCCTGTAAGATTTTCTATTATCCATTTATTAATATTTGCTTTTTGTACAAGAGGAAAAAAATCTTCTTCACATTGTGCAAAATTTTGTCATCGAGCAAATTCACTACTGGATTTTGCAAAATCTATTAGAATAAATGGTTTAATTGTAACACGATTATGAATTATTTTTCGATCAATTGTTAATGCATCTAATAATTCTGATATTGGACGTTTAATTAATTTTTTAACTGTATAAACTGCACTGAAATTCTTTCTTAATTTTGTTTTGTTATGAATAACGGAAAATGTGTCGTCTTTTCTTTATCTTCCCTCAAGCATCATTATTATTATTATCATCATCATTGTCCAATTCGTTATTATTTAAATTTGTATTTTAAATTCTTCCCATGCTTTATGTAATCAAATATCAATTTGATTTATTAAAATTAAAATATTTGTGTGTGTTTCTTATAAAAGTTTGTTAAATAATTCAATAGTATGTTTTTGATTAACATCTGTTAATGTTGTTACCACAATAAACAGGCTGACTGAATGTAATGACTTATCCAATAAATTTTTTCCTTGTCCTGCTGCATCATCTTGTCCGGGATTGTCAACAACATCAATTACTAATCCTGATTCATCTTTATCATTATTCGTATTATTATTAAATTTAATAAAAGCGGGACATTGAAGTGACATTCGAGTATTGAATGCATCAATGCTACGTAAGGCGCGACTAATTCAAAAGAGGAGCATGTTTTTATTTTTGCCTTAAAAGCCCATCACTCGATGCAGAATTTCGTGCTGATTACGAATATCACCT